TTTTTTTGGAACCAATTAACATCGCTATGCGAGGCACCACTGTATTTTACTCCATATGTCTGAAGAATTGGACTTGTCCATGAAAGCTCACATTAAAAAATAACAATCTTTAAGGTGCCACAAGGTTTTGGTCTTTTTTAATTGTTCATTTTTTTATTTGGCATTTGCCTGATATGTCTTCAGTGTGCTTTCTTTTGCTGATTCTCTCTTGCAAATGGGGATGACCTAATCTTGGACCATTCTTCATCAGAAAAATCAAGTTGTAGGTCAGATTCCCATGCTAATCTATGACCCACTGAAGAGTTATATAGTGAACATAGGAGTCAAATATATATAGATCTTAGACTTCTTAGACTGCTGGTTGACATTACACTGAAATTTTCAGAGGCAGTGAGGGGTCTTAGATTTGTAAACTTTTTTCACAAAAGCCCTTGAAGTGTTTATGGCAGTCGGTTTTTACTGAGGTTTCTTAATCAAACAGGTCTCTAATACAAAAGATATCCTTTTCTTTCTTTAAACTTGTTGATTTTGTTTATAAAAATACAAATTGGGGTTCCTAAGAAGAGCACAGAAGCAAGAAGGCAATTGTGCAAGACTTTTAATTCAGGGGTAGTAAGTCTTGAGGATGTCTGCATATAAATCATTGGTATCTCTCTCAGTGTCTTCCTTTCAGATAGGTGGGATTAAGACATAAGACATAAGACATAAGAAATTTATTTGTCATTGCGCTCACAAGTGGGTGCAACGAAATGAGGTGCTCTTCCCCAAGGTAGAACTGGACAACACTACAAAAAAAAGTTAAGAGAGAGATGGGGTTGGACTTTTGGGATGTTTCAGACCTGCAACTCCCAGAATTCACCCAGCCAGAATTCTGAGAGATTCTGCCAGAAACAGAAGTTTACAGAGCAGCTTTCACAAAGATATAACTGTCTGAGGGAATTCTGAGAGTTCCAATGCAAAAAATGCCAGCACTCCACCTGTAGTCACAAGCATTTTGTTCCATTTGAACTTATGCTGCCAAACCATAATCTCTAAATATCTAAACTGCTTGTTTAATGTGAAGTGAATTACAATATAACGAACTTTCAGGAACTGTCATGCTGCCTTGTGGTATGAGATCATACCATATTGCATTTGTAACTCATGATTAACTTCCCAATTTATAAAAAGATTCATCATTTTTGTCATTCATTGAAATTGCAACATGGTGGATGGATTGGACTGGCATTAAAAAGAAAAAAATAGCTGTGGCACAGCAAACATTTTTACTACCACTATTCTACCTAACAATGTTAGGTGGAACTTCTACTCTTTAAGCTTCCATTTTATCTATTCAAGTACAGGGGATTAGGTCCTGTATATAAGATGTTTTAAGCATTTTGTTATGACAGTGCCCAAATATATAAAACCAGAATGACATATGAGGAATCCTGGACTTTCCTACCATTGTTTTTGTGTGGACAAGGATATATTTAGGCATCAAGGCCTATATTTTGAATTACTTACTTTCAATCCTGTTGTTGGTAATGGACTGGATGAGGGCAAACAGACTGAAATTTAATTCAGAAAATACAAGACGTGGCTTGGGTCCAGGCTATCTGACGGACTGTATCTCCTCATATAACCACGCCTGGGTATTAAGACCATCCAGGGAAGTTCTTCTTTTGGTCTTGTCACCTTTACAGGGATATCTGACAGGGGCTGAAGGTTAAGCTGGCTCCCTTTCTCCTCTCCTTTCGGCAGTAAGTGAAAACAATTTTATTCCAACAGGTTTTTGGTGCTTAATATCTAACTTTAGCATGGCCAGTTGACCTACATTTGCTGCTAATATATCCTATTAATGTTTTTTAAAATGTTTCTGTATTTCTTTATTTGTTGTATATGAAGGCTCTTATTGAAGTAGATCAGAGTGAACAAAAATACAGCATAATCAAGTGTGGGATTCGTTGAAAGACTTTCCAAACCTAAAAGTGGGTGGTTTGCTGCCTGACCCTGAGATACCTAAAGGAGAAACTAGGTATGAAACTCTTGAATGGATAGTAATTGTGTTTCCGTGCGGGCAAGGTTGTGGGAAGAAAGTGATATGCTCAGGTCCAGAGTACAATTCCCCTCCAGCTGTCAAACCTACAGTTCAATGCATTCCAATGGGGGGGAAAATTCACCAAAAATTAACGAAGACTCAGAACAAAGCCAAATTAAGTTAGCAAAGGTTTTACAGGGTGCACTAACGATTCCAAGCATTTTAAACAGTTTTTGAACATTTTAAGACACTTTAAAAATAGCGAAAACGGACATCGCTAAGCGAAACAGGGGGACCCAAACTGTCATCGCTATGCGAGGCATGGTCCCGAAGATCGCAAAGCAAAAATTGCCCATAGGGAACATGGTTAAACAAATCGTAAAATGCTCCCAAAAAACCAATCACTAAGCGAATTCTTCGTTAAACAAAGACATAAGACATAAGAAATTTATTTGTCATTGCGCTCACAAGTGGGTGCAACGAAATGAGGTGCTCTTCCCCAAGGTAAAACTGGACAACACTACAAAAAAAAAGTTAAAATATACACAACTTTCACCATCCAAATATAGATACCCCGTTTTCTCTCAGCAATTAAAATTCCACCAAAAACCTATGGCCCCGCATTTAAACTCAATACTGCACTTGGGTAAAAACTGTTCTTGAATCTGCTTGTCCTTGCTTTCAATACCCTGAATCTCCTTCCTGATGGTAATAATTTAAAGAGCTGATGTCCCGGATGAGAGGAGTCTTTCAGTATGTTAGATATCTTCCTCTTACATCTGTTCTTATACAATTCTTCCAAAGAGGGGAGTGAACAGCCAATGATGTTTTGGGGCGTCTTAATCACCCTTTGAATTGCCTTTTTCTCTGCCACTGTGCAGCTCGTGAACCATACACAGAGACAGTAGGATAATATGCTCTCAATCGAACTCCGATAGAAGGTGATTAACAAACTCTCAGTCAATTGTTGCTTTCTAAGAATCCTTAGAAAATACAACCGTATACAACAAAGCAATCGCTAAGCGAGGCACCACTGTACAAGAAATATCATGAAACCAAGCACACAGTTAAAGTTATTGTACCACCATAAACAGATATTATTTTGGCTTCTACAGGCTTCCTTTAACTAAGTCAGTATTTAAAATCATCTTCTCCCATCAATACAAAAACTGTTTAGTCACTTACTGTTCTTCACCCATAAAATGTTTGTGAGCTTAGAAAATAATGGTAAGACTTTAGCATTGATTGCATGGTATTGTAAATTCAAAATGGAAATTTAAAATGCATGGCTGTTCCTACTCCCAGATACCCTAGAGACAATTCTGGATGAAACCTAAACCTGATCATTACCATTCAATACTGCATACTCCTCCTGTCCGTTACATCTTAGAAAAAAATGCAAATAACTTGACTTTAAAGATCAAATCTCTTTCCCCTCCCATGCTTCCCTTCCTGCCTGTGTTTTTTTTTGGGGGGGGGGGTAATATCTTACCCAATAAAGTGATCTGAAGATCTCAGAAGAGCACACATTTTCTGTCTTTTTAGTTGGTCTAAGTATCTTTTTGGGTTGGCATGATCATAATAAAGATTATAATTTTTATTCCCTTATGGCCAACTGTTGCCTTTGAATTAAAATCATTTGTGGTTTGACTGAAGAGGACAGAATGAGACCATAATTATGCTGAATTCCCAGCAAGCTATTGCTATCCCTCAAACTTGTCTTCTGCTTCAGTTCAGCTTTCAAAATGGAACTAATACCAAAGGATTTACAATGCTCAGGATCTTCTGGTTTATCACCTTTATCGAAGGAGTTGGTGCAGGGGAGGACAGTTTAGAAAATAAATAAACCAAATTCTGAGTTTGATATTTCATAATCAGTGATTGAAACAGCAATAAAAGTCTGAAAAAATAGCCAGCTGCATTTCACTGTTAAATTGATGAATCATGCTAAATTGCTCCACCACCACCTTCAAAGAACTAATACTTTTTAAAGTATAGAGCTGAAAAGAAAGTATAATACAGCATGCTAAAGCACTTTGCACTTCTAACTCTGAAAGCAATCTGCTTATCATTCTAGTGTGACCACAACTGATGATGCATCTCTGGGCAGAGAAGCTAAAGGAAAAAAAACAACAAAAAGCTGGAGGAGTTAGATCAGCAGTATTTTAAAAAGAAATGCGGTCAGAAGCAAGATTCTGCAGAAAACCAAATCACACAACCACATGAAGTTACCTTCAGGCAAGTCAGTATGTCTTCCACAAGGAAGGGGAAAGGCTGGAACTCACCATCCTCATCAGGGAGCTCCTCTGGGTTAAGCTCTACCAACTCAAAGCTGTGCTTGATACACCACTCTTGGGCTTTTTGCCGGCTGATGCCTAAAATAAGTGAAAGAAGTTTAACTACTGTTTTGCATCTACGTTAGAACTGTAGTTCAAAAGAGCACACTGATCAAGACACATGGTAAAAGCTCATTTTGCCTAGCCAAATGGGATGGGACAGGGAGGAAGAAGCGCAGCTCATGGAAGCCTTCAAGGACAATTAGGGTTCACTTTTCAATTAGGTTTCATCCCTGAAATTTTTTAATCTTGTTTCACAAAATAAAAAATGAGACTTCTGGCTCTTTCTGTTTTTGTTGAAGAGGCCTCAGGATAGTCAATGCCAAAGTCTGGGGACAGGAAATTAGCACCTGCCCTTCCAGACCCTGCCTACTCCTGCTATGCAGGAATAACTTTGTCAAGAAAAAAAAAGAGACCATAATAACTGAGATCCTTGATGCATTTGGTCATGATACTTAAAATGAATTTCTGCAGCTATGAGTTGCAGAAACATAAATATGGAAGGCAATCTAACAGCATGGCAAAATCTGGATGTAAAGAAAATTGCTGCCTTCTGTTTCATGATAACAGACCTGTGTAGATATGAGTGTTTTCAATATGAAGTGGCCAATTTCAGCAGTGTAGACATTTTTCAGGTCATTTTTCACATTTTGTAAGCAACCTGAGGACTATGCTCCTACACAGCAAGCTAATCTGATTATTTTGAATTGTTAATGCAGTAGTTAGGAACTGTCACAGCTAAAATGGTTAAAAATTTAACAATGTAAAAAAATGGTCAAAAATTAACATTTTTATTAACTGGAAAATTGAATCAACTTTTTAAAAAGCTAATTTTTAAAAATGAAAAGGCCTCTTTCACCCTCTCGTGGTCAAAAAAATTTATGAAAATGAATGGGCTGGGTGGCTATCATGCCCCCCCCCATATGGTGTAGTGGACAAACTGATGGACTAAGGAGTTATGGGTTTAAATCCCTGCTAGACCATGGAAACTCACTGATGAGGGTGGAACTGATAAAACCACTCCTTTAATATCTCACTTGCCTCAAAAGCCGTATTAGGCTTACTATAAGCCAGTTCTGACTCGACAACAGATAATGCACGCACGTAGCAAAATATGGTAAATAGCTTTCACACACTCCTTAAAGACATAGTTTAAACATTTTCTAGGGGTGGGAATATCAAGGTCTACCAAAAAGTATTCAGGGGCCACATGTGGTCCCAAGCCCACCTTTCATCCAACCGTGTTTTTTTTTTAAAAAAGCATGTCAACTCTAACCAATGCCACAGACCAGGACATCATGCAAATGGAGAGTTGATTATGAGAAGCCCTTGCACCTTGTTGAACATCATGTAATATCAAAGATGGCATCTCGGTTTTCTATGTACACATACAGATCTAAAGTGTTATATCTTGCTATATGTGAATGTTTTGTTACCAAATTGCTGGAGGAACAGGCTCAGCAAATCTGAAAGAGCAATATATAACTTTAAAACATGACTACTAAATGGTCCTGTCTTCAAGTTGTCTCTAGCTTTTAACATAAAAGTCTGAATGATTCCGAAAGAGGGAGAACAATTGGCAGTTATTACCAGCCAAGCTGTCAGCTCAGAGTTCCAACAAAAAACCCTTTCAGCACTGGTCCTGTTACTCCCCTTTGCTGCAATATGCCAAAATCTCTGCCTTGCTGCCATACCATTTTCAGAGACTCTGTCACAGACCAGGATCATCACTTCTGGTAGCCATTCTTCTACAAGGGGAAGCCAAGCTGATACGCTGTCCAGTCCAGTTATCTGCAGAACGACATAAGATGTGCTGGCTTCCTCTCTGAATATTGTTTACAATTTTACTAGTGAAAATATATCAGTATTGATAAGGAAGCAAAACTGAGAGTTACAGAGGCTAGAAAGAGAGAAAAGATATTGGACTGATCCAGATTAAGACGTAATCTTAATTAATCTGCTCTTAAGTAAGTCATGTTTAACAAATCACATTGATTACAAAGGTCTATTTTAATTATGATTAAATTTGTATTCAATCCAATTATCTCTAAAGGAAAAGCTACCCTGAAGTAGTCAAAAAGCATGATACAAATAATTTTTAATGTCTTTACTGCAAATAGGAACCATCTAGGCCAGCAATGATGAACCTATGGCACGCTTCCACAGCTGGTACGCAGAGCCCTTTCCACAGGCATGCGAGCCGTAAGTCACCGGATTGCTACTCCTCCCCGCAGCCAAACCTGCAGAGGCGGCTGCAGCTACAGTGCTGGCACTTTGACAGGCAGCAGGCCAGGATCTGGAGCAGCCGGTACTGGCGGTGGATCTGGAGTGGGGTCTCGAGGCCGTCTTCTGAGTCCCACCACGGAGGACCCTTCCATCTGGTGGAGACATCCAGGGCTTTCTCTGCCACGGGACCTCCACCGTGGGACGCCCTTCCCCCTTGGAGGCTCAGTGGGCACCAACATCAGCATCCTTCCAGTTGTGCTGCGGCCCACTGCCTGCTGGGTTGCTTTTTTTCCCGTTTGGGCATTCGGACCCAAAAAGGTTCACTGCTACTGATGTAGGCCAAAGCTATCACCAGGATGCTTTCAACTTTCTTGTTACTTAAAAAAAAAGACACCAGAAGACTGGTGTGTGAGTCAAAATACAAAGAACTGAATTGCAAGTCTATTATTGTTGTTGTTGCTAAAATCCAATTACTCTGGCTAAACTATTCTGTAGATGAGGCAAATTAAAAATTAAGTAAAGTATACTCCCATAGCATAGCAACAGAAGGCACAACGTTCTTACAGATATTTACATGTGGGATTTGGAACTAACCTCTAACCCTAGACGGAAGAAAAGGAAAAGGCATTTGAGTTCCAAGCCTGCCTCCATTGCTTCTGAGAACATTGCTTAATTACTCCACACTCAATTTCCTCCTGTTATTTAACTAGCATCACTTAGTGACAATCAAGAATCTCCAATTAGACTGGGAACTGTTGCTTCCCTCAGATGAATGAAGTGGGAAGGGCCAGTCTAAATACTGATTCGGCTCTTTGCATCTTTTTGGTGTTGGGCACCTTCTAACCTGCCCAGGAAGAAGGCTTGCAAATAACAAAAACAAGGAGAGATGGAGCAAGATATATTTGCACTACTTGTCTCAAGGATATCTGTGGCTGAGGTGGGAACCTGTATGGGTGACCATCACAGGTACTGAAGGTTTAGGGTGTGCCTCTGAAGGAGTCATAGTCCATCGGCCTTACAGTGGCCTTGTGATGTAGCAAAATAGTTTAGCAAACAGGGTGAATATGAAACCATCGGCAAGCAGTGTTATTAGTCTAATGCAAGGGGAACAAAAAAAGACGTGTCCTCCTCCCTCACACACCCAAGGCAGAGTTAGCCTACAAAACTCTGACTACCAAAAATACTACTGACTGAAAGACTCCAAGGTCTGAAAAGGCAAGAGAAAGACTGGGTCTAGAGAGGAAGTGGAAATGAATGGTCTTTTAGTCTACTACCAGCCAATCTTTCATCTGGAGGGTAAAAAGCCTCTTTCCTATCCACTCTAGTCTACTAGAAGTGTTTTTCAAAATCTAGATTAAAACATGGATAATTTGTATTTGAAAACAGTTGCTTCAAGAATTTGAATAGAATGTAATGTAAGTTTTTCATATGTTATTTAAAGGCATGAATGCACTTCTAATATGGCCACAGAATATCTCACAATATGTAAAATATGCAGAATTTCACATAAAATCATTGTCATCTTGCAAACTGCTTAACTAGTTCTCAGTTTTTTCTGGTAGTCTATAAGGGCAATGACAAAAATTTTCATCAACTGCACTCCACAAATGGAAATAATGTTGCTCAATTGTAATTTCCCTACAACTATCTCTCAAAAATTGAGAAGGTATTGTTTTGAAACCAGAGAGCTACAAAGACTTTACACAAAAACGGTGACAACAAAGAGGCAGGAGAGGGAACCTTCTGGCAAATGCCTCATTTTAACAGGAGAAAAAAACAAAGGAAATAGGACTGTGAGCAGTATGATTAGGCAGGGGTTCCCTTAAATGTTGGGAAAAACAGTAGGAAATATCATCAAGGAACTGAACTACAGTAGTTATCTGTTGAAATTTGTTATATTTGAGCCATTACAGTTTCCAGAGACAAGAGTTATACAGGTCAACATAAACTGGAAGAGGCAATGCTGACAGCCTGAGGTACTCACTGTGGTGCTGTCAAAATAAACTAAGAAGGCCTGCACTTTCTCTGCAATTTCGGCTGTCACAAAAAACTCATTTTTCATAACACAGAAATGGATTTCAGCTGAGTAGTATTTATTGTCTATTGTCCAGGGGTAAAACTGGGCTCCGCTGTATGTGGAAACGTCTTTTGGAAGCTCTTCCTTCCCAATGATACCTGAAAAGAAAAACATAAAGGCAATCTTGTGTATACCTTATGCATGGAGTACAATGGAGCAAATGTTTTGTGTAAAAAGGACCCAGGTTCAAACCACCACCAGGTATGTCCAGGAAGGCATATTTTCTGAAACTTTAGAGAACTGCTACTAGTTCCATGGGAGCATCTCAAACAAACACCACTGAATCTATATTAAAATTAGTTAATTAATCAAAAACATACAGTCAGATTAACAATAAAAAGATACCGGCACTGGCGTCAGGTGAGCTTCTCTAAAGAGTGTGTTCCACAGAAACCACTAAAACTCTTTCCTCAGAGGGTGAAAGGGCCATAAGAGCACATTCTGATGGTGAACAAAGGGTTGGACATGAGGCGTAAGGCAACTTCTAAGGAGTACCAGCTTTTCCTGTTCAGTTGCACAGGCAACAAGAAATGTAGCAAAAGAGTCATGGCGATGGCTACAGGATTTAGTGGCTGCCCACAATGTGAGTTGGGTAATTTGTGGCCCATTATCAAAACAGTCCTCCTACAAAGTTAGTACAGTTGGTTAGCCCAGCCCCACCATCTACTCAAAGGGAGTGCTGATCCTCCTTCTGACTATTTTGTATGAAACAGGTCCTCTGCTCACAAATCTCCCAGTATTTGCAGAAGTCAGGCATTCAGACTATTGAGATTTTGGCACTTCATTGAAAAAAGTGAAAGCTATAACACATATATCATACAACCCTCTCACCATAATGACATCTTTCTACATCCAGCAATATTTCAATCACACCAATTTTAGGACAAGGTTTCAAGTCCTTACTTGTTTTTGGCCCTCAAAAAGTCTTTCCAGAAAACTGCTATAATGGCAAAAAATACACGCATTTGGAAACAACTGTGTCTCAGGAGAATTGCTCATTTTTCTCTTTTGATCTTCCCAACCATTGGGAGGACTTATAGTTTCACATCCAAAGAGCTTTAAAAAAGATCAGCTGACGCACTTGGTAACCACAATATTTTGACACGCCTCAAAGGCCAACCTCTGTGGTTAGTGTTTTCACAGAAGACAAGCCAGCTCTTTGACACTCTCCTGTCCTCCTCCTACAATCAAGACCAATTATAGCCCCACATCTGCTTATGCATTTGCAAAGCAGCTACAAATAATTGGGGTGTGCATATATGCTATTATTTGAAGCAGAGAATCCAAACAATTCTGGATGCAAGGACTAAGCCTAGAAAATGTGAAACCAAAAAGATTAAACTTGTACACAATGCCTTTCTCTCAGAGCTAAACCAACAGACCATCTTATTTGAAGCAGGAGGACAAGCAGCATCTAGATTTTGTCACCCTATAGGCTTTCGCTGTGGAACTTTTGGAGAGGATGCACAATATACGGCCACAAAGACACACCTAAACAAGAGTTCATCTCATTTATAAACAAACTTATTTGCTATTACTTGATTCATTCTTTTGGACAGATAAAACCCATCTGGTGAACTGCAGTAATCATACTGAAATCCACCTAATAATGCTTTGGGGCTACACATTTATTCATTTTTAATACATGTCAGCTTATCTGTTTTTGTGTTGGGAAATTTGTACTTCGTGTCAAAAAGAGGTTCCTCAGAAAGTTTAATATATTTAGTTATTAAAAACTTTACAGATTACAAAAATACACATTTTTTAAAAAAGGGATCACCAAGGTCAAGAAACACACAGTCTAACTTTTGACAGTGTTCCCAAGCAGCCTCTCTGTAATATGTGCATGTTATGTGCCATCAACCAGACTTACACCAATCGCCTTACAGCAACCCTAACAGAGCTTTCTAGGTAGCTGAGATATTTAAGGAGTGGTTTTAGCAGTTCTACCTACCAGATAGTTTCCATGGCAGATCAGGGATTCAAACCCAAGTCCTAGTCCCTCACTCTAGATACTTCTCTGGGCCTTCATAACACAAGTAGTTTCTTTCATGGGCTTTTATAAGGGATTCTATTTATTCTTTAATGCTTGGGTGATTAAGGGAAAAGAGCTGCGCCTCTGCGTGTCTGGGGAGCCACCTGGTGGAACGAACTTTGGAAATCCTCCCATTGAACTGTAAGGGAAGATGTGTGACTTGAAGACACTGCAGTGGTTGTTTTAACATATTTAAACACTTCCTACTCAGGCAAAACTTGCCATTCAAGTATCATCTGTGTTCCAAATTGACTGCAGAAGAGTGCATGCTTGATGGTATAAATCTGATTGACAGTTTTCAAGAATTATTATAGTATGCAGAAACAATGTGCAAAAAATCTACTGTTCTGCATAGCAACAGTTAATGCCACTGATACCTTCGTGTAAAACCAGTATCACAGGCCCATATCTTCCAGATATAAGAATTTCTCCAAAACAGAACATCCAGGTTTTACAAGAAATTCTACCATTACTGTAACTGTATGCGACTTTGAATACTCAACCATTAGGAAGCAGATCTCTTCTCTTATCCTTCCTTCCATTCTAATTCCAAGGAAGCTTGTTTTTGGCCTGATATACTAGCACAGACTAACATGGCTACCTCTTCTAAAAGTACATCTACGGTAGCTGTTCCTTTTCTAAATTAGTGTCTGGCATTGGTAATGGACTGGATAAGGCCAAACAGATTGAAACCTGATCGAGACAAGATCAGAAGACTGATCAAGGTATAAGGACTGAAACTGTGCTGGATGGGATTACATACTTCTGAAAACTCGGGCTTGCAGTTTGGGCACCCTCCTGGACTCATCACTGAGCCACAGCACTCATGTCTTAGTGGTGGCCAAAACTGCATTTGCACTATTGGGTCCAGACCACCTGAAGGACCATATCTCTCCATATTTATTCTATTTATTTAAAATATTTTTACCCCATCTTTCTCCTTAAAAGGGACCAAAGATGGCTTACAGCATTGGAAGACAATATTTAAAGCTGAAAACAATGAGTACAGTATACAAAGGCTGTTTGCGTCATTAAAAGACAATATTTAAAACTAAGAACAATGAGCACAGAGGCAGCTTACATCATTAAAAACAATATTAAAGCTAAAATAAGTATACAGATATTAAAAAGGAAGAAACAAGTACTACTCTGAGATGGTAAACACAAGCAGTAATGCGTAACAATCAATCTAAAAGTCACACTCATGTGGCCGGTCACTGAGGGAAAGCTTGCCTAAAGAGAAAGGTCTATGTGTGCTTGCAGAACGATAGCAAAGATGGGGCCAGTCTGGGTTCCTGTGGGAGGGAGTTCCAAAGTCTGGGAGCAGCAACAGAGAAGACTCTCCTATGTCCCCAGCAGATCGGCAGCCAGTAGAGCTGCCATATCAGTCAGCAATCTGATTCTGCATTTTGGACCTGCTGAAGTTTCCTGACACTCATATGAGCCATCTTGGCTCCTAGTCTCTTCTTTGGAAGCCCTTCTCTCAGTCTCACCACCCTTCTCAAGAAGGTTTTATTGAAACATGAGACAGTGGCTCTGTGGCTGCCCTCAGGTTGTGGAATGCTCTACCTTGGGAGGCAAGCTTGGTCCAGCAACAAATAAAAGACTTTCGGGGGGGGGGGAGTCAAAAATAATGTTGTTCCAGTAACATGCAAAGTCTTTTTTAAAAAGGCTTCTTAATTAAGCTGGCCTCTTCTTCATATCTTGGCTAATATAAAACTGTATGTTTTAAAGATTTTAAAAATGTTTTAGATTATTGTTTTTATATCATTCTATGCTTGCTTTTGAATTGGATAACTTATTGAATTTTTAATTTATTTGCATTTTAATTATTTTGAGCTGCCTTGAGTTCCTTTATGAGAGTGATATAGAAATGACAGAAATAAATAAGCAACATTTTAAAATTACGTTGCTACAGTGCACTCATTCTACTACAAATCTTGCATTAAAAGTTAATATAAGTGTTTGTAATACTGGATTGTTTAAAAAGCACTGGATTACTAAAAAAAGCAATAAAACCTGATGTTAGGAAATTTCTTCAAATTTTACAGAAAACAATACATATTTTATTATTTGGTCTAAGTTTGTAATCTAATACTCTCCACAATTCAAGACAATCAAAACATGGTGTCAAGGCGACTGTAAAAGACAGCCTTTGAAAACTCTCACTTTTCACTCGCCTGAAATTCCCTATCTTCTAAAAAAAACCCTGACAAATGTTAAGAAAACATACACGAGGCATAAACTAACAAATCACAGGTGTTGAGAAGCCAATTCTAATTTGTGTGATATTTCAGTTTTCTGAAATCAACAGAGTTCAGGGTGAAGTTCAAAGCTAGAAGCTATAGATCGTTCACTCATGGTTTCTATCATAAAAAAACTAGAAATGAATAACACATTCAAGAATATTATATAATACATACATTTCAAAATAGATCCCAAGACTTGTCCACGCTAGACTCTACAGGTATTCATAATTCAGTTGTATGTGCATTTACTTAGAAGCAAGCCTTGCTGAATTTGATGTGGTTTACTTCTGAGTAAATTTTCTGTGGTGAAATTATTATGAATCTGCAGTATTTCCCAAAATGTCAGCCACTTTTCAGTGAGAGGAGATTTCTATGGCTAGCTAGTGAGTAAGTGGTTGTTCCTATGCCTTCAAAGCTTCATTTGGGTTAAGAAACCCCACTGAAACTCCAGGTATGCAGCCGGGGGACACTCCTGGATTTGTCCCCGAGTCCAGATGCCCAGGTTATGGCAGTGACCACTAGTGCACTTGCACAGTTAAAACTAGTGCACCAGTTGCGCTAGTTCCTGGAAATGTCTGATCTTTAGTGGCTCCAAAATTCAGCAGCCAAATTTTAGGGGGAGGGCTGGGCACAGGGATCACACAAACACAGAGTTACAGAAAGCATCAGGAAACTTCAGTGGGTCCAGAACACAGCAGCCACACTGATCAGAGGAATCACATAACCCCCTTCGTACAGCAGATCCACTGGCTACCAATCTGTTTCCAGGCACAATTCAAAGTGCTGATTCTAACTTATAAAGCCCTAAATCATTGGTCTCCAACCTTGGGCCGCCAGATGTTCAGCAGCCACACTGATCAGAGGAATCACATAACCCCCTTCGTACAGCAGATCCACTGGCTACCAATCTGTTTCCAGGCACAATTCAAAGTGCTGATTCTAACTTATAAAGCCCTAAATGACTGACACACAAGAGTAACTTACATTACCTCCACAAGGGCCTCTGCCCTATTGTTAGCCTTTCAAGAGCAAGGAATCTATCCCGGGAGTGGCAAGGTTCCATGGGCGCTACACGGGATGGGTAGTTTTGCGTTTTTTAGAGAAACACATGGAGAGAGAGACTACCTGTCCTATGAGCCCTTGTGACTCCCATGGAACATTGCCATTCCCAAGAGGAGACCTGTTGGTGGCTTTCCAAGATCTGATGATACTGTACATATGTCATGCAAAAGAGGGTGCAGGCTTCTTTTCTGCTCTTCCAAGTGCAGTGATGTGGTACAAATGCCGCCCGTGGATGGGCAGCCTTGTTAAGCTACTGCGGGGGGGGGGG